GGTTTCTCCCCCATAGGGGCTGGAGCATTGCTGTCACCCTCTTTGGATTCCTGTCATTCTATAGGGTTTCTAACTCCATAGTGTTGCTGTCATCCCATAGGGCTGCTCCCCCATAGCAGCTGCTGGGTCATTGTCACCCCATAGGGTTCCTCACTCCATAGGGTTGCCCATCCCATAAGTTCACACCCCCCACAGTCACTGGTGCAGTGCAGGCACTCTTTGGGTGCTCACCCCACTGGGGTTGGTGCATTTGAACCTCCCCATGGGGGCACTTGCCCCACAGCACCACCGACACCCTGTATTGGGGTGTTCACCCCCCGGGGCTGGGGCACTGCCCAGGGCTCCCCCCGTGGGGTCAGTGCTCCATGTCCCTCTGGGGCTGTGCCCTGGGGCCACCCCGTGCTGCCCTGACCCTCTCCAAGCAGTTTGCCTGTATTTGAGCTTTCCAGCAGAGGATTTGATCGGGTCCCCTGGCTGGTGACATCAGGAGCCAGATGTGCCGCCCTGCCAGATGTGCTGCCACTGCCCAGGCTGTCCCTTTCTCTGTCCTGTGCAGCCACAGCCAGTGCAGCAGTGAAACCTCTGGATCTGCCTGTCTGGAATTGCAGCTTCCACCATGTGGTGTTTTGTGTTTGGTGCTGCCAGTCCCACCCAGGTGGGACAGAATTCTCCTGTCTGGTCCTTCTGTGGTTTTACTGGTTTAGTCTGGCCTTGCTTAAAAAAATACCTTGCTTTGCAACGTTGAACAGCTGGGATTTGGGGATAGGAGGGCTTGGATCTTTTTAGGGAATGTGTTGGTAATTTTTTGTCCAGGATACTTTCTTTCTTTCACATGCCAGAAGAGTGTTGGGTGGGTCTGTTTGACTCTGTGCCTCTTGGCCATCACTGGCTTCGAATCCAAGCTGTGCATGAAATTCCTTATAAATAAATGGGCTTTTAATGGATGCATGGATTTTACAGCCTCAATATGTGTGGAGAGAGAGAGAGATGCTGGCAAGGCTGGCCAGTAGCTTTTGCTTCTGCTCCCACGTTACTGACAGGGCTGGTTTTGCTCTTTCTGGGTGTATCAGTTAATATGTGATGGTTGATATATTTGCAGTTATTCTCATTTTGTCCGTTAAAGCTCTTCCTGATGGAAAATACATGTCTGTGGATGTGCAGGGTCCCTGTTCTCTGTGCTGAGCAAAGCCTTGGAACCTGGTTTTTAATTGTCCTTCAGCTTGGGTTTTCCCTCCAGGGTGCAAATAACCATTACAAAGAGGGATGCAGGTTCTCCCAGTGAGGTGATGGATCGATGCTGGGATTTGTTTTTTGCTTGATGTGAATTATCCTGGTAAATAGAGCGAGCAACCAAACAGCACATGGGTTGACCCCACTTTCCCTGGGTTATTGTGGTTATTTTATCCCATTTTGGAGGCAGGAGGGGGGTTGCTCTTTCCCTAGTTTCCAAAGGCTCTTCCTAGCACAGCACCTGTGTGTATATGTGTGTGCATCACTCCCCTGCCAGGAGGAGTCAGAGGTATCAAGGACACCAACTAGGTGTGTATCACAGAGAGATGCTCCAGGAGTGGCCTGGGGTCACTGGCTGCTTTAACAGGCTTCCAGAACCCACATTAGAGGGAATTATATTAAAAGAAATCTCTTGGGATGGTCTCCTCGCTCCCTGTCTGTCCTTATTTATATTTATTTTTTTGGCCTTTTCTCCTAAATCTGCTGCTTGTCCCTGCTGTACCCTCATGCCTGTCCCAACCAGCAGCCTCCCCATCACTTAGGTGTTTTTTGGGGGTTATTCCCATGTTTCTCATGGCTTGAGCAGCCCATGGGATGCTTCAGCTGGAGTCCCCTGGAAAGTCTCTGCACAAGGGGATTAAGTTGCCCGTGCCTGAGCACGGAGCTCAAACTTGTGCCACCAGAAGCACTGAAGCTACTTGTGTGAGTAAAGACCAGCTTAAGGATTTGCTGGATCTGCTTTCAGGCAGGGAGCCTGGTATTTTCTTTTATTTTTTAAGCTATCTGTGTATTTTTTAATTGTTCCCAAAGTTTGCAGTAATCCAAAAGTGTCAAAGGCAATCGGTATTTCCACTGGCAGCTCTCTCGTGTTACTTACTGTTACAATAGAGAAATGAGGGAATGAATTATAGTTCAGAAACATGCACAGATGTTAAAACAGCTTAAAAAGGGTTCAAATAAAGTTAAAAGGAAAAGAACCCCAAACATTCCCTGTGGTGTTTCAAACATCAGCTCCAACCTTGCTGGGGATAAATCAGTTTTCAGGCAGCATTAGGCCTGTTGCCCGAACACCTTTATTAGGGAATCAGTCTGGACAGTCAGAAGTGTATTTACATCAGGAATCATAGAGTATCCTGAGTTGGAAGGAACCCACAAGGATCATGGAGTCCAACTCCTGGCCCCGTGGAGTTGGAGGGAATAAACCCTTCAGTTCGAGCTGGCCTCTGAAGATGCCTGAGGTCGTTCTCTCTCACGAGAAATACATTGAAATCAAGTTTGTGGGTGCTGCACTCTCCCTTTGTGTGTTTTGTTTTTTAATATTAGTATTCTTTACTCCTCTAGTCCATGGAGGCTGTAAGTGATGCCCAGGTATGTGGGTGGGAGATGGAGAATTAACCTGATCCAAAGTAGTCAGTTTTCCTTCTGGTTTTCCCAGTGGAATCCAACAGGCCTACAGCCCAGGAGCATTTTTTTGCAGGTCTTATTACTTTTATTTCCTTAATTCTTACAAGGCAAAGTTGTGCTGTTGTCTTTCAAAGCTTGGCAGTGGCAGCCACTAATATTTTATTTATATTATTTTTTTTCAGCTTTGTGGTTGGTTTGTGGCTGTATTGCTTTGGGGTTATTCTTGCCTGTGATATGAACCAATATCACAGTGATGTGCATGGATTTAATCTTAATCTTTAGTCCTTTTAGATGGACCTATTGCTGTATCCCAGGAGGACTTCAATGAAGGTGAAGCCATGCCTGGCTTGGGAACAGTGTCCCAACCAACAGCAGTAATGCCAACAGCATCTTCCTTTTAAAATGCACCATTTACTGAATTGTCAGCATTTAAAGGTGCCATTTGTAGAAATGTCCCCCTTTGCATTGCGTGTTAAAGACATAATTGTGCAGAAATTTAAAATATTCTTAATTTAGGATTTAAAGCCATCAGTGCCCTTGCTTTGTGTCTTTCCCATCTAACGATGGGACAAAGCTGCTGCGACCTTGGCACTTGCAAAATTAGCAGGACCAGTAAAACCAGGCTCTGCAAAATTGGATTATGAAATTTGAGGGAAAGGAGGAAAACCAGCGGTAATTTTTAAATTTTGTCCTCCCTTGGTTCATCCCTGGATGTGTTGTGCCTATTGAATGTGTTTATTATACATCATTAGGGAGTGTTCTCTGCAAAGAGAGTGTTCTCTGTATCAAGCACTCTAAAAATGCCAGTTATTATTAATTATTATGCTAACGTGGGTCTTTTTGTGGCAGTTATTTGTCCTGGTGTAAAATACAAATGAAATGCAAAATCTGAATGGGGTTTCTAATGGGATGCAGCATCCACTGACAGGTAAAAGAGTTACTTGCAAAGCAGAATTGCTTTAGCATCAGGGGAGAGCAGCATTCCCAAATATGGGGATGTAGATTTGCACGATTGGTGATTGTATTTTCCCTCTTTAAAACTATAAAGCTGTTTGTTTTGCTGGTTTTTTTTAATGAGAAACGACTGGGTTGTCAAAGAGACAATGCAGCTTGAGCGTTGTAAACTGTAGTGCTTGAAAGTTATTGAGTCAGTTGGTTTTAAATTAAAAATACACACACACACACACACACACACAAATGTCTGCATTTTGAGTGTCTCAGGCCATTCTTTGCCCGAGCCTACCTATATTTTCACTTATCTGTTCATAAAAGTCTCGCGAAAACACACAAAAGATATTTTGTGCAATGACATCAGAGGGAGAAAATATTCTTAGAAAATTTCATGCTGTTAAATCTCCACAGATTTACAGTTTTATCCAGTCAAATTAATGCAAAACCCCAATGCAAGCATTTGGATTTTGAAAACTTTGGAGGAGTGTCATTTCCTAATAGTAATTATTGGTTTTACATTATTTTTTCACAGGGGAGCTGATCACAGCCGCATATGAGCTTGGAGTAAGTATTAGTTTTATTGTTTAATCAATGCTCTCATTAACAGTTTTAGGAATTAAGGAAGTTTAATTAAGCATGGAGTAAAGTAGATTAATTTATTTTCAAACCACAGTTTTTACTAACTTATAAGTACAGCACGCGACAATTTACTTCAAGTTTTAAATCCAATTAAACTAAATTATAAAGCAAAGGCTTTACTGTATATACAGTAGCTGGCTTATTATCAACCCAAATTTTGTATAAGCTGGGGAGAATAAAATAAATCGGGTTAACAATTTTAATAAGTTTTATTATTTAATAAACTTTATTATGGTGCATGATCCCTTTAGGCAAGACCTTAGGACTGTCAGCGCGGTGGTAATCCGATAGCAGTGTGGTCTTTCAACTTGCTAACCAATAAAATAGTTGAGGAGCTGCTTTTTAAAAAAAAAAAACAACAAAAAACAAAAAACAAAACAAAACAAAAACCAAAAAACAAACACAACAAAAAAAAACGCCTCCAAAAAAAAAACAACAGCCTTTTGAATGACCCTAATATACTGTGAACCCAAACAAGGAGCCCTTTAAGGCACGCTAATGAAACGTGGCACCTCCTTTTTCTCGCCGCCTCGTTATTATGGGCGAGGCGTGGAGCCAAATCCACCGAGGGAAAGAAAAAAAATATTTGCGGACTTGAAACTGGTACCCAAAGGGTGGGTCGGGGGAGAGGTGCCGCTCGGAGACCCCCCTGGATCCCCGGGGGGAGATCCCCCTGGATCCCGTGCTGCTCTGCTTTTGATCTGGTCGAATTCCAGCCCTTTTCCAACCCCCCCCCGGTGTCGGTCTGTCCGTAGGTCGCCCACCCTCCCGGCTACCCCCTGTTCACCCTGCTGGCCAAAGTGGCGATGGGGCTCCTGCCCGGCGGCTCCCCCGCCTCCCGAGTCAACCTCCTCTGCGGCTTCTTGGGAGCAGCTGCCGCCTCTTTGCTTTTTTACACGGTTTTCAGGTAAAGTCATCCGGGGGGTTTTGTTGTTTGTCGGCTCGGGACGTTTCCGAAGGCTCCCTCTGTTCCCCTCTGGCCTTCGGACTAGTGTTTCCCCCCACCCCCCCCGTCCCTAATTAGTTCCTCTGATTAACCTAACAGCGATTTAATCTGAATTTGACCTTCTTTCTCACACAAAAGGTCCCCCCTTTATTTTTTTCCCCCTTTCTTTTCTGTTAAATAATAATAATAGCAATAATAAAAAGTGCGCCCTTTCCCTTCCACAGACGTGACAGGTTGTTCAGGCTCATTATCACAAATCACCGCTCGGTTTAACTAACCAGAACTAATGAAGTTTGTCGTTCTCGAAAGATGCAGATGGTCTGTTTAAATTAACAGGATGAGCTTCACCTATCGGGAAACCGTGAACTTGGTTTAATTGCAGCTCCCGGCGGAGGCGGATGGGCAGTTGCCTGCCGGTGGTACCCAAGCACCAGGGAGAGCATCCCTGCCTTTCCCTGCTGGCTGCAGGCTCGGGAGATGCCCGAGTCCATCCCTTCTCCCCGGACCTCTAACCTTGGGAGGAAAGGGAACAATCGGGATGCGCACGTGGTCGGGGCTGGGGGGGAGGTGGGTTTGTTAACCCCGCTCGTCTTTGATGTGCAAGTTCTGGCTGCTCTTAACCTCAGCCTGACCCATATTTGAGAGGATTATCACAACCCGTATAAACAATTTCTGATGTTCTTTTGCAGGGAAAATAGGGCACGTTTGGAGGCTGCAAGTGATATCGGGGCGCTCCGGGATGAGACGGGGGCGCTTCCTCACCCAGATTATTTTGACAAAAGCCCTTTTCTCCCACCCGTCCCCAGAGCTGCGTCGCCCCTCAGGGAAACCTTCCCAGAGAGCGAGAGCAACCCAGAAATAAAAGCAGGAATAAATGGGGGGTGAGGGGCCAGATCCTGCACAGCCTGAGAGCCCTGAGCTCGCTTAAACTTTGGTCCACGGGGTCCAAAATCCCCAAAATCTGCTGCAGAGGAGTTGCTTTTTGTGCCTCACCTTTCACGCAGCATCAGCTCCAAAGTGCACCTACCGGAGTTGCTTAAGTAATTCCTAAATATTTCCGTAGGCATTTAAAGTGATTGCTTTTACTGGTGGGTAATACATGTAATTAAGTCAGCATTATTTAATTTAATATCCTGTATTTTGCAGCGTATTTGGGGAGCTGGAAGTGGCGCTGCCCTCCCGTGCACAGTGCCCGGCGCAGCGTCGGAGCACAACCCGATTGTGTTAAAAACTCCTGCGAGGAGTTGCTGAGGGTTTTTAATATTTGGTTTCTGATTTCTTTTTTAATGATGGTTATTCCCATTATTGCAGTTACTGTGAAGCTCTGCCCCAGTTTTTAGTTTGAACTGCAGCGAGACAGTTCCTTTCCTGCCCAGTTTGTTGCACGTGAAATGATGCGATCGTCGCTTTGCAGAAATGAGGGTACGGGAGACCAATGACAGGCTAAATTTGGGAATTATTTTGGGAATTACTTTTGCACTTCTAAAGGTTTAATTTTTTTTTGCTGTTGTTGTTGTTTAATTGGATTTGGAAGACGGCGCTTCTGTCAAATTTAAAATTTGCACGAAGGAATGGGAAACCTGGAACCAAGAGATGATAAAAACTATTAGGACTTCTAGAAATTATTTATAGATAGTGACAGGATGAATTATTCAACCTGGCAAGGATTGATTGTTTTTTTGAAAATAATTGTAAGGTCAATTTTATTTCCAAATTACAGCATTACATTTTTCCTTTTAAGCAACTTAAAGCTGCTTTATTTTTTACAACATTCGCTTGGCCAAAAAAAAAAATAAAATTACTTTTGTTGCCTTTTTATCTACTTTAAAAAGAAAAAAAAAACAACTAGCAAGTGTTCACTGCATGAAGCCATAACTATCTGAAGGTGATGTGGTGTGTTTTTAACTGGGCTTGTTCATCCTCACGAATCCAAATGGGTCTATCAAATCCCCCCTCATTTTTGCCTCTAAATAAAATCAGCTGACGGGGTGACCCCTACGAGGCACCGGTGGGAAAAATCAGCACCTGCTCCTCGTGCTGCACAAAACGTGGACGTTAATATGAAAATATGTAGATGTTAGGAGCACAAATAATTGATGAAGTACACATCCTTCGGGAGCAACACGGTTCAAGTGGCAAATCTCCCTCCTCAAACAATAGCCACCCTTCAGCGGGGAGGAAGCCATCTCTATGGAAATGGGGCCGACGCTGCCCTATTGATCGAGTGAAGAAGACATTATACAATGTCAGTTGGGTTGTTACAATTTCATTTGTCGTCTGACCTGAACTTAACCTCTAAAACCTTTCTTTTCTCCCCACCAGCCGGGCAGGGTTGCTGTTTACCCTCGCCGGGTTTTTCCAGCGTCCCCGGACAGTAAATCTCTCCCCTTTTTTTTTTTTTTGTTTTATTTCCCCATCGATTCTTTTTGTTCGAGTCGTTTCCCGAGTTTATTCCTCGGCGGGTCGGGATAATTTTGCTGCTTAAGGAGAGAGTCGTGGTTCCCTCCGTGGCCGGGTGGCGTTTGGGATGTTACGGCACGTGCGGGATTAGGATCGAATTTTTTCCTTAAACAGATTCCTCCTCTGCCAGGTGATGGCTGGCGGGATGCTCCGCATGTTTGCTTATTAATTTCATTATATTATAGTATATTATGTTACTCATTTAATTACATTTTTTTAAGCCTGGATTGTTCCTCTTAAAGCAAAATTATGTCGAACCACGTTGATGCAAAAAGCCCCTTTGTCAGTAATCCAGACTATTTCGGAGCGAGCCGTTCGCTCCTTTGAGTTAGTTCTCCAATACGGATTTTTCTTTCCCCCCCCCCACTTCACAGTCGTAATAAACCGCCTGTAATTATCGTAAAATGGCATTTACAAAGAGTTTTCTCGGACTGCTTGTAAGTGAGGCAAATAATTCATCTTTGCTTTGAAGGAGGGGGGAGCTGCTTTATGTTTTTAGGACGCAGCGAGCGCGGCTGTAGGATTGTTTCTTTAAACAACTATTTATTTTTTTTTTACTGTGGGAGGCAAAGCATAGCAAGTTTACAAAGTAAACCAATTATCTTCTTATAATATGATTGCCAGAGTGTCATTTTCTGCACAGGGGATGCATTCTTTGCATTCTCTTGCAAAGAGAAATAGGATGCTTTCCTCTAAGTGCTTTTTCTTTTCCAGTGTACACCTTTCATAGTTTGGCTGTTTTGAGGTATTTAAATATACAAAGCTGTTTTATTGCAGGGGCAGTAGCAGAGTAGGTGGTGTCATTGCACAGGTGCTTCTAGTAAGTTTTTGCCAGCTTTATTCTGTCCGAGTTGGACACGGGGTTTGGAAAAGGGGGAAAATGTCGCATTAAATTAAGCCAGTCACGTTTCTTCATTATGCTGTTCTGGGTATTGTATTAACTTTTGGACTAATACATTATACATATATTTTTTTATATTTATTTTTTTTATATATATATGTGTGTATATATATATATTCTCTGCCCCCTAAACCTTCCAAACAACACGCTCTGGATGTATTTAAAAACCAGAGCCAGCTCTTCTCTCACTGCCAACAAAAAGCAGCGTTAGTTGTGTTGCATAGTGAAATAATCAAAATTATTTTATCATTTTGTTATCATCTTAACGCTTTGGAAATGGCACTTGACCATCCTGATGGCACTGAGCTTTCTGGCTCCTGGGCTGTGTGTCCTGGAGCTCTCGTGGGAAGGTCCCTAGGAAGGACCAGGAGGATGGGTGACCTTCATGGCCATCCCAGAGGAACCTCATGGCTGATGCTCCCTTAAAACTAACTGGTGCTGGGAAAAGTTGTCTTCTGCCTATGCTGAGTGAAGAAATACTCCATATCCCTGGGGTTCATGGGTTTACCAGAGCAGAAGTCATCCCTGAACAGTTTGACCCCTTTTTTTGTTGCCATGGTTAGGGGAAGATGGAGGCTTGAGAGAGGAGCCAGTGCCCGCTCAGCTGGAGTGGGAAATTAAAAAATTGGGCTTTGAGGAAGGAGGAATCTCTTTGCAGGGCATATTTGGATTTTTCCAGATTACAGATTATCATAGATTACCGCTGTTGTAGCACAGCAGGAGGATCTTGGGCATTTGGAAAACAGATGTGCTTAATAATAAGTAGTTACAAACTTTTAGGAGGGAGAGAAGAAAGGAAGGTACTCGTGTACTAATTAGCTTTTAAAATATCTCCCCTGGCCTCTGGCTAATTGATCTTATGTATATTTTTATTTTCTTTCCCACTTGTCGCCATAATAAACCGGCGCTGAGTTTAGTCTGTTTGAAGACATTACCAAATCTGTTCATTTGCATTTGGCTCTAAAGTAGGCACACGAGGCTGCAGTAACTCTGCTTCGTTTTGAAGTGAGGGGAGGGGGGGAGGAAAAAGCAGGGCAAAAAAAAAAACTCTTTTTTTTTTTTTTTTTTTTTAAAGACTGAAGAGTCTTTTCTGACAGCTAGTCAGAGTTAGAATTAGTTCAAGGAAATGTTAATAATGCACTGCCTGGCTTAATCCCTTTGATATCACCAGGTATCCTCCTGTTCATGGGTTAATTGCTTTAAAAGCGGAGGCAATATTCTGAGCGGTGGGCCGCTTCACCTTTTCACAGCTGTTACCATTGAGTGACAACTAAATCCCATGTGTAAGATGAGGAAGAGCTCAATCTCCAATTGGGAGAAAATTTATGTAAACCGCAATCCCTTCAGAATGTGCGGAAGTCACAGACTTTCTTGATTTACTCTGCTTTTCCCAGAAAGCTCCATTGTTCCCTTCCCTAAGTCCCATCAACCCTTTGTAGCAGAATATCACAGCGGCGGCAGATAGCTTGAAATATATAAATGCTATCATAGCTCTGATTAATAGCGGCGCTTATGAGTCAAGTCTGATAACGGAGCAGCTCTCCACTCAATTTCAGATACCGCTAATGGAATCTGTCTCCTGCAATTGTAATGTGAGAAG